GTGGTGGTGTATGCAGCTGTGGTGGTGTGCGTGCAGCTGTGGTGGTGTGTGTGCAGCTGTGGTGGTGTGTGTGCAGCTGTGGTGGTGGTGTATGCAGCTGTGGTGGTGGTGTATGCAGCTGTGGTGGTGGTGTATGCAGCTGTGGTGGTGTGCATGTGGAGCTCACCCTCAGCTCTGTGAGTGTTTTCTCCAGCAGGGCGGTGACGCTGTCCACAGAGCTGCAGTCGTCTGCGCAGCCGGCAGCGGAGGCCTTGGCCTGCAGCTCCTTCAGTCCAGCCTCTGGCAGCGTGAAGGACAGAGGTTTCTGAGCCTTCTCCAGTTTACGCTTCTTACTGGGAGGAGACTGGAATAAAACAGAGGCCGGAGACGATTAAGAAGATGGGATATTATTGAGAACACGTAACACTGAGGAGCTTTAACTTTGTGTAAGGTTTGAACAAATGCAGCATTAAAGGGGTCAGATAAACAAAAAGTCTATTTGATTGCTCTGGTAGCTGTGGGACCAGTAATTCAAGACCAGTCATGCTAGAATGTTTTTTTATCCAGGTTTATTACACACTTTGGAGTTTAAACCTGCACACTTCACCAAATTCAAAACTTTCTACTCCTCTGTCTTCTTTTTGATTCTTTTTAATATCAGTGTACAAATAATTCCAATAAAATTTAAAATAGGTTTTGTACAGGAGTTAAGCTTTGTTGTCTTTTTGCTCCAAACACTGAATCAAACCTCGTTCCTAACTGAGGTATGGCCACCGCCTGCACCTGTCAGTGTGTGTGAACGTGCACCTGTCGGTGTGTGTGAACGTGCACCTGTCGGTGTGTGTGAACGTGCACCTGTCGGTGTGTAGGTCGGTGTGTATGAACGTGCACCTGTCAGTGGGTATGAAAGTGCACCTGTCAGTGGGTATGAACGTGCACCTGTCAGTGGGTATGAACGTGCACCTGTCAGTGTGTGTGAACGTGCACCTGTCGGTGTGTGTGAACGTGCACCTGTCAGTGTGTGTGAACGTGCACCTGTCAGTGTGTATGAACGTGCACCTGTCAGTGTGTATGAACGTGCACCTGTCTGTGTGTATGAACGTGCACCTGTCAGTGTGTATGAACGTGCACCTGTCAGTGTGTGTGAACGTGCACCTGTCAGTGTGTATGAACGTGCACCTGTCATATGATCTCAGACAGAAACCCCCCAAAAACAAGATTCAAGTGTTAAAGATGCTCACTGCAAAGTCATGAAGACTCAAAAAAAGCCACACACACAATGTTTTTCTCACATCAGTGATTAATGTGAGCAAAATCTTTGCTGACAACGCTGTCTGTCTGTTTGTTTAGCTGCAGAAACAGCCGAAGACTGAAAATACGTCAGTGAAGTCCACAGACGAGCGGTGTGAGTTCAAGACATCAAATGTGTTGCATCAGTTCATATTTACACTCGTGTGTAAACTACGAAGATTAACGGATTCAGCAGTGTTAGGTTTACATCGAGTGCAGGTCCACATCTGGAACACCTCTGAAGTACACTCTTTTAAACTGCACCGTTTGATGCAGTTCAGGATAACCGTGTGAATGTTTTTGAAGCGTTCACACTATTGTGATCCATTTTTCTTCTGTACATTTTCAGCGTGTTTCTCATTCCGCAAATTTTTGGTGCCATTTCAACAAATCATATCAAAACATTCAGCTCCTTCAGCACAATCCTGCTGTGACTTTTGGTATTGATGCAACTTTAGCTTCTTGAAATATTTAGCCTTTTCCTTCCTCATAAAAAATGAAATGAGCTCATTTTACATCTTTCAAATCTTTAGATCTGTTCACAACCTTTTACTGCTCCTTTTACATTTTGTTCAGCTTCTTTCAGCTTCCTTGTGAAAATAAAAAAATAAACTTCAGCTACTTTCAGCTGCTTTATGCTCCTTTCAGCTTATTTCTGCAAGTTTCAGCTTTTTCTGCTATTTCAGCTACTATTTAGCGGTTTTATGCTAATTTGAGCTTTTTCAGCTAATTCCACATTTTTTGCACTTTTTTCAGCTTAAAAATCAGCAAAAATGTGCTCTCTCTCCACTTCCTTCTGGTAATTTCAATTCAATTCAATCCAAAAATACTTTATTAATCCCAAAGGGAAATTAATTGCTGTTGTAGCTCATCTTGGTATCAGAGTTGTTCTAGATGCTGATAGTTTAGAACAGGAAGGATCTCTTGTAGCAGTCCGTCCCATAACAGATCCGAAGAGACTGTCTGCAGATGGCGATCCGTCCACCCAGACCCAGCAGACCCTCGTCCTCTTGGGCAGCAGGACTGACTGAATGCCAAGTGATATAGAAATTATTATTTTAATGCTTTTATGTCAATCTAGACCTATATTACACTTATTTAAACACACTTATACAACGTGTTATTCACATATTAGGGATTGTATTTTGTATTATGTTTTATGAGGTGTTGGGTCGCCTTTATGCCTGTTCAAACATATACTTTGTGTGTGTGTGTTGCTTATAATATTTATACACTCTTTGATGGTTTGCAGAAGGGACGGAGGGGTGCTCTTTAGGAATGCTTTAATAAGCATTAGGAGTGCTCTTGACCTGGAAGCTTTGGCCCGCTTTTACGGTCACAGGCGCTCCTTACTGGAAGGATGAGCCATCACTTTGATGATGGTTTAATTAGATCCGTTGTTCTGGTAACCATCAAACTTGTTTTGAATGCTCTCACGCGATCCGGTCAGGGAAGAAAAGTATAAAGGAAGTGTGACAGGCAACTTAATCTTGGGAAGTCCTGTGATGGATCAGACGCGCGCTGGTGCCACACGCCATTTTGATGTGATTCTCCTTTACCTGGGTCGAAAACGACTTCCCGGCCAGTGTCACGGTGAGAAGTTATTTCATATCAATCTGTGTTAAGAGTGTACGAGTGTACATGTTTGTTTTTTGCTTGGCTGTTTTCTGTGGCAGGATAATAAAGGACACTAATTTATCCTAGCAGTAACAGCTTCAGTCTTTCATTTTTTCCATTTGTCTGAATATGTGCCGACCGTTTCACGAGCCCTTTTGATAAAGAATTTCATAATACACCAAGCAGAACTCCTCCCCGAGCAATGGCCATTCCTCCCAGCAGCCTGCCGAGCCCCTCCTTACCGCCATCTCAGTCCTCCTGCTGTCACGAGCTGTGTTTAAGCTTCTTTCTGCCTTTTCAGCTAGTTTTTTATTTCAACTTTTTTTTTAGCTAATTTACTAATTTTTGTGCCAATTTCTGCTTATTTAAAACAAATTCAGCAAATATGTGTTCTTTCTGCCGTCTTCTTCTAATTTAGGCTTTTTCTTAGATTTCAGCTACATGTCAGCATGTTTTTAGCTAATTTTAGCTGTTTGTCAGCAAGTTCTTCAGCAATAAGCATTCACACTGTGTTTACGCAGGAATTGCAATTTCTCTAGTTGGTTTTATGTTTAATTTAATAAAATGTAACAAGTAACTTTAAACTGCAGGCTTAATGAGGTAGATGCATCAAGATGATCATTAAAATCGTTTTTAAATCTATTTTCATATTTATTCAGATTAGGAAAATACAAAAGGCACATTTTATAAATCTCAAAAATGCTTTAACACTACATAAAGCCAACAGTTTGCATCCATCCATCCACTATTCTTTAACCGCTTCTTTCTTTTCGGGTTGAGGGGGTCACTGGTGCTCATGTCCAACCATCACTGTGCGAGGTGGGGGACAGGTCTCCAGTCCATCACAGGGACACAGAGACAAGAAACCGGAGTACCCGGAGAAAACCCATGCATGCACGGAGAGAACATGCAAACTCCACCCAGAAAGGCTCCCGGACCAGGATTTGAACCGAGGCGAACTGCTCGCTGAGAGGCAGCAGCTCTACCAACTGCACCACCGTGCTGCCTCCTCTGCAAACCAACCAAAAATAGTAAAAGTGTTTCATAAACTTGTTGTCTCTCAGGTTGTTCTCGATTAGGCTTTGAGAGTTTTTACTAGTTTAAACAGAGTTGAACCTTGTTTGCTCATCATTCTGTTTTTGTCTCATCTTGAGTCAACACCAGCTGATCAAAGAGGGCTCGAGGCTAAACCACTGTCTCATGAAGCAGCTTTTACAGCCTGATCAGGCCGCAATGGGCCCCTGTGCTGCAGGAGTTATGTAGAGACTCACCTCTGCTCTAAATAATAATATTAATAATCTAGTCTATAAATGGTGTCATTATCAAGTCTTGTTTTAAACTAGTGAACTTCTCTGATCTTGACGTGTTTCTGCCAACTCTGCCCTCACTGAGAGGAGTGATGCGTTTTATTTATTTAAATATTTGGAACCAATGAAATGCTCCCATGGTCTTAGAAACTGTATGGGAGAAAGACTTGGTGCTGCAGTGTTTTTAAAGAGTGAACACAGACCCCCCATCTGTCCTAGGCTACAGCAAACGACTCGCACACTCCGGAGCTGTCCGTCCATGAAAAAAGCTCTGGTCTGAGACTTTTCTTACATTAACTGGAGACAATTTCCCTCCTAGTGTATTTACTGTCTTCTTTGAGGTGTGGCCCAGTGCTCTCTCTCTCTCCTGATAAAAAGGACGTGCGATCCTTGACACTGCAGATCAGGAGGGTAATTAACAGCAAATATGTAGCCTCACCTACATATACAAGCAGATTAGAGAGGTAATTTTAATTTTTATTAGAAAAATTAATCTGGTTTGACTCGTTAGGCTGTTTCTTTAAAAATAACCTGGAATCCCTTTCTGTCCTATGTCAGAGATTTTTTTTTTTTAAACTCTGCTTATAATAATAATTATGCTCTTTGGGTCCACAGTTTCTGTTTAAAAGCTGGTAATTATTAAGTTTGAAAGTAACACAAAGCTGCCAACAGAGGGCAGCGTGCACTCTGTTTAACATGGGTCACACCTTTTAGGCTATTTGGACGTTTTTCAAAGACAAAAAAAAAAATCAAAAATCCAATTCCAGTGCGTTTCATCCTGCAACAGAAAGAGCTTTTTCAGACGTGCGTCAAACTGTCTGACTGAAAGAGAACCAACAATCTACATATTTGCCGTTTTATTCTGTTGCTCTTCTTTCCGAATAACAAAGTTATTTTGTTACTAAACAAAACATAAGAAAATAAATATTTTTTGATATTTGTAAATGATTCCCAGTTGTTACATGTACGCTGTATCAATATAAAAAAGATGGATTTGTGCTGCCAAACACAAGAGAGTGCTCCAACAACGCCAGAACCTGCAGCCAATCAGACAGCTGCTTTTGTCCCATCGCCCGTAGCGCTGTGAAGATGGTGGAGGTCATTATCTGACGAGATGCTGCACCTGTGAGTCACTGCAGTCAGGGTGGGG